AGGCGCTGTGCTTGGACCAGGAGAAATGACACTGAGCCAAGATGACTACCTCACTTTCCCCCCCCCACTGGCAGAGGAGGATGTACAAACAGCGGCTCTAGTGCCCCACAGACTGCCCAAGTTCAACCTCTGGGTCACTTGCTTACACGCTATGACTTGGGGCAAATGCTTAAAGGAACCCAGTTTCATCATCTACACACTGGAAATGAACATCTCACCTCCTGGAGTTCTCTAAAAGCGTCAGCAGCAAAGTGCCTGGCAATCAACAAATTTTGTCTCTTGTTACCATTAGTTGGGAAATGAATGGAAAGAAATAAATGGTACAAAATAGTAACAAAAGACAACTACAAAATTGAATCAGCAAATGCGAATACGCAATAGAATGTATATTAAAATGGTCTAAATAAAGAATAAATTCAAAAAACGGGTCCTTTGAACAAATGTACGGTACCATTAACAAAAAGGCTGAAAGGCAATATAGGTACAAACCAAAACGGTCGAGAAATTTCATTCATTAACACTTTACAGTACGTCAGTCTGAACTGAGCGAGGAAAGACAGAGGATACTGAGCTGAAGGCAGGCGGGTTTTCTCTCACTATTCAAACAGTTTTCAAACACCATTTCTAGAACAGCCTAATGGAAGGACAGTGTTGCAAGCATCTAGTTGCTTCTCCCTGGCTGGACCTCAGTTGCTCTCCCTGTCCCTGATCTGTGAAGCCTCCAAATCGCATTCCCTGCCTCCTCTGTCAACTCCACACCATTCATCCTCTACCAAGGTGTTAGAACGATGCACCTAAAACCAAATATGGCCACACGGTGCCTTGCCGGAGACACCTTCTAGTAACAGCCCGCTGCCCAGTGGGCAAAGCCTCGGTTCCTCAGCAGGACACGGAGGCCTTCGCACTCGGCCCCCACGCCGCTTGCCCGCCAGTCTCCCCTTCCACTCCTTCAACGCACCGCGTCTCATTTCCTATTTTCACACCTCAGCACCCGCTGTCCCGCCTGCTCACGGCACCCTACATGACCGAACAACCGTCAGCCGCTCCGGCCTGCAGGCCGAGTCTCTCTGCGGCTTCCCGCCGCCTCCCCCTTTCCCGTTCCCAGCAGCTGAGGGAGAAACCCGGCGCCCGGGGGGCGGCCCCTCAGACCACCCCGCCCCACAGTCCTCACGCCCCGCGCCCCTTCCCTTCCCGGGCCGCGTTTCCCCCGGGCGGGTCCCGACACAGTTCAGCGCGTCTAGGCGCGGAGGGGCGAGCGGACGAAGGGGGCTCTCCCTCCCAGGTATATCAGCTCAACTCCTCCCCCCGTAGTCAAGGCCGGGGTGGAGGCCAGGAAGGAAGGGGTAGCCCGCGGCCCAGCGCCGAGATCTCGAGGACCAGCGTGCCTCTTACCACAAACACGGCCTCAGGAATCCCTAGGTGGAGCCGCCGGCCGTTCCCTGCCGCCACTTCTCCTAGTCCACAGCCTTCCTTAGAGGCCGCCATCTTGCGAAAGCAAGCGCGCGACAAACCCTCTCGAGCCGCCAACCGCCGGTGGTCCCTGATTGGCTTGCTCACAGCTGCAGGCCCGCCCCAACCTTGTGAGTGTGCGCGTTCATTGGCGCGCGGGGAGTAGCCGCCCCTTCTCTCGGAGAAGGAGGTGCCAACATCGTGAGTGCTGATTGGCTGCGAGCAGGTGAGTGACAAGTGACAAAGTCGCGAGGGAGCTGCTGGCTTTGCAGGAGGAACCAATGCGGACTCCGGGAAAGGGGGAGGGGAGGGGTCCAGGGACTATTGTGGGTGGGACGACTCGAGGGCCCGTGGAATCAGAGATCAGACTGGAACCCCGGTACCGCGCCGGAACAGGCAGCACCCTCAAAACTCGATCCCGCCTGTCAGCTACAAAGTGAGTCTGGGACCTAGACGCCATCAGGGGCTTTGGTGTCGGTGCCTCTCTGGTCCCACCATCCCAGCGAGCCTCCTGGCCCTCAAAGGGGACAGGTTTTGTGCATGTTTCGGGGTGGAGCCACTGATCTGATTTTAATAAATACCCCGCCCATTGCACCAACGTTTCCCGAAAGCTACCTTAGATCAGAATCTTGCCACCCCAACTCACACGTTTTCAAAACTTCATATTCTTCCTACAAAATCCTAAACTCTTCCGAGGTTTCCAGCCCTGAGGACTTCCTCAGCGTCGTCCACCCCTACAACCCTTCGAAAGCAAGTGCGCTCTACAGACCTAAATAATTATTCTTTGGTCTCTTTCTAACACCTAACCACCCTGTTGGTTTCTGTCTTTGCTTACACTGGAGTGCTTTCCAGTGAAGCGGTGCTTCATCCATTCACAAACCCTGCCATGAGCCAGCTCGGTTACGAATAAAGGATGTTAGCTCCCTTACTTAGTGGGGATACATATGTAATAATAATAGTGATTAACATTTATCAAAAACTAATTATGGGCCAGTCACTGACTCATGTTATTTAATTGCCACCAGCTCAGTGGGCCAGGGACTGTTATCACTCACAGTTTACAGACAAACTAAAGAACCTTAAAAATGAACTGATAAAGTTTTGGGGTGATGGTGGGGTGATCTGGAAAGAATTCTTGAAGACGTCTTTCGTGCAAAAAGGTGCATGGGGACAGGACCTATAGGCAGGAAGAGCTGCACTGGGGACTGACAGGTAACTGATTATGTACCCTCAGGTTGGGAGGGGTTTAGGGACAGCATAAGTCTCTAAGGAATTTGGGAAGCAAGGTTTCCAGGACCTTGAGGGGCTGGCTGTTGCTTGGCAAACGCCATTTATTACCATTTAGTAAAACCTCAGTCATAAGACCCTTCAGATGTATGTCAGGGGGCTATAAGCTTGAAGTATGATTGCCAGCATATACCTTAGGGGAGTCGAGACAAAGAAGTTTCCAAAGGAATTTTTATGTGTTAAAGTAGATTTACAGGTTCCTGGGGGTCAGGATAATGTTAAGCCAAGATTCCCTTTTGCCCCCAGCAAAGTGTCATCACAGAGGTGGCTGAGCTCCTACAGGGAGGTCACTCTGCAGGTTTCAAGGACTTTTCAATGGACTGTAGGCAGTAAGGGAACTTAATTTCTCACCTGCCTTAGTTTCCCTCATCACCATGGCAAGCACTTAAACCCTCTTCCTTTGTTCTTGGGTGGCCAGGAGTGTCCGAGGAACATCACACAGATCCCATCTGAGAGGGTGGGGGTTCTGTTAGCCTGTACTTGGCCCTCAGCTTGCCCCATGCTCCCTCATCATTAACCATTTGTGGGGTGCCTGGGTGGCTCAGTTGGTTATGCACCCAACTTTGCCTCAAGTGGCATCTCACATTCACGGGTTGGAGCCTGAGTCAGGCTCTGTGCTAACACCTCAGAGCCTGGAGCTCGCTCGGGTTCTGTGTGTGCGTCACTCTCTCTGCCCCTCTCCTGCTCATGCTCTCTCTCTCGCGCTCTCTCTCTCAAAAAGAAAGGAACATTAAAAAAAATTTTTTTAATGCTGACAACAGTAATTTTCTGGCCACAATTTTGAGTCCTTGGAATTCTCACACATTGGCAGGAGGATAAAGTGGAACAGTTGTTTTTGGAAAACTTTTGGCAGTTTGGGGGCACCTGGGAGGCTCAATCGGTTAAGCATCCCCCTTCGGCTCAGGTCATTATCTCGTGGTTCAGGAGTTTGAGCCCCAGGACGGGCTCTGTGCTGACAGCTCAGAGCTTGGAGCCTACTTCCGATTCTGTGTCTCCCTCTCTCTCTGCCCCTCCCTGGCTCATACTCTGTCTCTCAAAAATAAACGTTAAAAAAATTTTTTTTAATGTTGGCAGTTTTAATTTTACACAAACACCTACTCTATGACTCACCCATTCTACTCCTATATGTTTATCCAGGAGATATATCCACATTTTTTCGCAAAAAGATTTGTACAAGCATGCTTATAGAACTTGTATGTATACATAAGTTTAAAATTTGGTTTAGGGGAGCACCCGGGTGGCTCTATCAGTAAAGAGTCCGACACTTGATTTTGGCTCAGGTCATTATCTCACAGTTGAAGAGATCAAGCCCTGTATCAGAATCTGCACTGACAGCATGGGGCCTGCTTGAAATTCTCTCCCCTCTCTCTCTCTTTCTGCCCCTCCCCCAGGCTCGCTCACTCGCGCGCGCTCCCTCTCTCTCTCTCTCAAAATAAATAAACATTTAAAAATATTTTTAAAAATAAAATTTAGTTTAGGGGCACCTGGGTGGCTCAGTTGGTTAAGCATCCAATACTTGGCTTGGCCTCAGGTCATGATCTCACGGTTCATCGGATTCAGTTCCACCAGCATAGAGCCTGCTTGGAATTCTCTCTCTCCCTCTCCCTGTGCCCCTCCCCTGCTTGCACACTCTCTCTTTCTCTGTCTTTCTCTCTCTCTCAAAATAAATAAATATACTTGAAAAATAAAATTTAGTTTAAAAATAATGAGTAAGAAGAAAGATATTTTCCTATAAACAAAAACTGAGTTTATCACAAGCGTAACTAAACTAAATGAACTTCTAAAAGATATACTTCAGGAAAAGGGAAATAACTTCAATACAAGAAGGGATAGTGAACAAAGAATTTGTAAACACATGGCTAAATCTAAGCAAAAACTGTTTCTGTAAATACCAATCTTTTTTTTTTTTTTTTTTAACTAAGCTGTATGCTCAACATAAGGCTCAAACTCATGACCCCTGAGTTGCATGCACTACTGACTGAGCCAGCCAGATGCCCCATATAAATACGAATGCTTTTAATCTGGGGGGTTGACAAAATGGGACAGGGCTAAAATACTGGACCACGATAGTATGTGAGTTAGGAGGAAATGGCCTTATGGTTTAAAAGTATTCTATGGTCCTTGTGTTATGTGGGAGGGGAGATTAAGATAGTAACTTTAGGTTTTGATAATTTTTCAGGGTACAATCTCAAGGATAACTATTAAAGCAAGAGAAGTAGAGTGCATCACCCCTAAAACATTGAATTGAAGAGTCTCAAAAGTACTGATGGTTCAAATGAATGTTTATTTTACTTGGCAGATGTGAATGATTCAGCTCAGGCTGTAGAGAGACGATCGCCTTTTTTTCACCTCTGAATCTGAATCTTTGTGCTTTGGTACTTTTACGTGGGTTGTGTCTGCATGAAAGAAAGATAGAAATGTAAGTCTTTTATCATTTCTACATATCTTTCCTTGTGGTTATAGAATAAATTACAAATACTTTTATACAAACCTCTGGTCAATCTTATTATCTAATACTCGAAGCTTTGTCAGGCCTCCTAAAACAAACATCCAGGAACTAGGGGACGCAATACATCACCTAAAGACTGAAGGAAGGAACTTTGTAAAGACCTTCTAGAAAACAATCCTCTGGAGCAATGACGCTTTCCCATACGCCTCAGCGACATGCACTCACGTTTCCATGCCTGCATCCACTTCTATGCCAAAGCTGTTTTTTCTAGCTGTGGTACAAAACTTCTCTTTTCTATACATCTGCTAGTTGAAATCCTTCCTATCATTTGGTACTCATTACCCTGGAACCTTCGATCCCTGACTTAACCATTCCCTCCTTTGATTTCCCATGGTGCTTTGTGCTTTCCCATCTGTTCATTGGGAATTTCCTTTCCCCGCTCCATTGACTGGCTGTCTATTTTTAAATCTTAGCAATCAACTTAGATAACACTTCTCTGGAAAGTTGCTCCTGAAATCTCCAGACTGAGCTATCCACATGTCCAGGATTGAGCCAGTTGGGGTTGCTGAATGAACGAATAAAAGGACTGCTGAGGAAGGATCAGAACCCAGTTGAGGTTTAGCAGCCCAAGTTTGTAGAGGGCGAGGTCTGCTGAAAATGTCAGAATTCGTTTTCCTCCTAGGAGAGACGAACAGCACACAAAAGATGTATATGTTGTAAAACTCTATTCTGACACTGGCCCCGCCTCTGGCGAGTGTACATCTGTGCCGAAGTCCTAAGCAACAACAGCTCACACACATATTATTTCTTGTGGATGGAACAGAAGGACTGCTCGCTGGTCCTTAAGCCTGGTTGGGTTTAAACCGTGGGTTGCGGTGTCATTTGGTAAGGAGCTCCCACTGGAGTTTGAGCCTATGAATTTGAATGGAAAAGAAAACAGAAAGTAAAAACTTAATCACCATGTAATTGCTCTCCCAGTCCGATTCTACCAGGAGCACAGGAAGCCCCTCCAGAGTAAAACGCCACATCACTGAATGTCAGCCGAAAGGAATGTTAACCGCCGGAGAGAAAAACAGATCTGGGAAGGAGCCGCTAGTGAGCCGGTGTGAAGGGAGAAGACCTCACGAATAGTTCTTGAAAAGGAGGCATGGACGGACTACCTAGAAGGCCTACCAAGGACTCTTTATGAGAAAAAGATCCCCTATGTCTCAGGGCCAATAATCCTCATGGGAAAGAGAAGGGAAGTCTGTAGGCAGACATGGAACATGTTAACTATACAACGATATGCATGTATCTTTGATGAAAACGTTTAGTACAGGCATGCGATTTGATTTGATGATGTCAAGGTTAAACATGAAGGATATGTAGAAATTTTCCCGGCGAAAGGAATGAGGGAAGAGCGGCCGGCACACCCGGTAACGGCAGTGGGTGGGGCCAGACAGGCACTCAGGGCTAAGAATTGATGCCCCGCCAATTGTTGCTTTGACATTTCTCTAGTTCGTATTACCTTTCCGGTGACCTGAGAAGCTCAGACATTTTCCCCAGCTTTGCTGAGGTATAACTGACAAATAAAGCTGTATATATTTAAAATATACAACATTATGATTTGGCATTTGTATACAGATTTTAAAATATATTCAAAAGATGAAAGAAGGACATTTAATGAAAAACAAATATAAGGAGGTTGCACAGGCCCATTAAGATAAAACTCTGGCCATTTTCCTTCCCTGTTGAAACCTCTTAAATGGATCCTCACTAACTAGACTGTGAAACTCCTCACTCAGCATGACTTCCCAAGTCTACTGCTTCTCTATCTTTATCTATTGCACTTTTTGCTCGCAAGTTGAGGCAATCTGGGCTGTGTTAAGGACAACTGGGAAAATTAGAAACTGTTGAAATGACTCGTATCTAAAGGCTAATGATTAATGTGTTGACCTGCTGAGAGGTTTCTGGCGATATGCGCAGGACTGTGTCCTTGGCCTTCCAGATTACCTTTATCTAAGTTCTCAGTGAGAATGTAGAGGACATGTTCAGTGAACACGTGGATAACACATATACTAGGAAGGGATAATAAATATACTAAATAGACTCAGAAGCTTTAATGTACTTTCCAGGCTAGAGATAGGATCCCAAATGAATAAGCTGAAGTTTAACAGAGAAAATTGTGAAGTTTTGCTCTTGGATCTTAAAAAATTCCCATGGGGATCCTGGGAGAAGTGAAAATGACTCATAGAGTTTTAGTTGATAAAAAGGTTAAGTTTAAGGTTAAGGTTAACTTTCCCTGTCCTTCTTGTTGTCTTAACTCCATGGCAGCAATTGAGAAGCAGCCCCCAGCTCTCTTCAGGGCACAGGGCTGCCGCCCCTGCAGGACGGAACAGAGGGCTTGATGTGACTTCCTGCCTTACAAACAGTGCTGCTTAGAAACCATCAAGATTGCTCTTGCTCAGGGACTGAGATCTTGGTCCACTTCCACGATTCTATCAGGCACTGCACCCTGGAACAGCCCCATGCAGTGACCAGATGGAGCACCTGATCCTTCTAGGGAACCTAGGTGTGTATGCGTCTTTCAGTTCACCTGGGTCTGTAGTTACTCATTCCTGAGGGATCAGACCCCCCTTCCACAGTCCAGCCAATGTTAGGGACAACTTTGTGCTAGTTCCCGCAAACTCCCTAGGAAATGGGCCCTATTCTGTTCACTTTTGTTAGGAAAGAATTTTTGACATAACCTGGCTCTTTTTGTAGCCTTTTTGAGTTTTTAAAATTATTTTTTTTAACATTTATCTATTTTTCAGAGACAAAGAGACAGAGCATGAGCAGGGGAGGGGTAGAGAGAGAGGAAGATACAGAATTCGAAGCAACAGCCTTTTAGTTTTTACTTTGCCATCCACACAGTTTGCTTCGGTCTCCGTTATATATTAACAACAGATGCCATCTGGTTACTGGTTCCTCCTAATCTGGAATCTGCCTTTTAGGAGTTGGGTCCTGACTGCCTATCCTGTCCTGTGGAGTATCTCAGCTCTGCCCCCGTTCCCTTATAGTCCTAGTGAGTCTACTTTCTCCAGGCTTGGGGCCATACTGACTTCTAGCATATAGACATACCTAGCATCATATAATACTCCTCTAATCCTCTTTTGGGGATTAACTGGCAAATATAGTTAATCATAGAAGTTGCACAGAGAACTCCAAATGAAGACTGGAACAAGCTGTGAAGTCAGCAAAGGAAAGCATTAACAAAACAAAAAGAAAACCAACTGAATGGGAGAAGATATTTGCAAATGACATATCTGATAAGGGTTAATATTCAAAATATACAAAGAACTTATGAGTCTCAACACCAAAACACCTACACAATCCAATTAAAAAATGAGAAGACCTGCAATAGACACTTTTCCAAGGGAGACATCCAGGTGGCCAACAGACACATGAAAAGATGCTCAACATCGCTCACCATCAAGGAAATGCAAATCCAAACCACAATGCATATCACCTCACACCTATCAGAGTGTCTAAAATTAAAAACACAACAAACAAGTGTTGGCAAGGATGCAGAGAAAAAGGAACCCTCATTCACTGTTGGTGGAAATGCAAACTGGTGCAGCTACTGCAGAAAACAGTGTGGAGGCTCCTCACAAAGGTAAACATAGAACTACAATATGATGCAGTAATTCCACGACTGGGTATTTAACCGGAGAAAATGAAAACACTAATACAAACAGTTAGATGCACCCTTGTGTCTGCTGCAGCATATTGACCATAGTCAGGATGTGGAAGCAGCTCGTGCGTCCATCAATAGATGAGTGGAGAAGGAAGGCAGAATATTATACAGTCATAAAAAAAGATGAGACTGTGCCATTTGCAACAACATGAATGGACCTAGAGGGCATTATGCTAAGTGAAATAAGTCAGACAGAGAAAGACAAATACCATGTGATTTCACTTACATGTGAATCTAAAACAAAACAAAACAAACAGAAAGCAGAATCAGCTCTGCAAATACAGAGAACAAACTGACAGTTGTCAGAAGCAAGGGGGCGGAGGGAGGGACAGAACGGGTAGAGGGGAGTGGGAGATAGAGGCTTCCAGTGATGGAATGAATAATTCATTGCAATAAAAGGTCTACATAAAAGTGCACAGAGAATATCGTCAATGCTATTGTGATAGCGGTGTGTGGTGACAGATGGCAGCTACACTTGTGGTGAGCCCAGCATAATGTATACACTTGTCAGATCACTAAGTTGTACTCCTGAAACTAATGTAACATTGTGTGTCAACTATACTCAAATAAAAATATTTTAAGAACCCTATAGTTAAAAGAAAAGAAAACAGGTAGGAGTAAAACTAAGAGAGTATGGTGTTTCCAAATCTAAGTGTTTCAAGAAGCATTCCTCTTCCCCCGCTGGCCATTCCTGTTTGGTTTTCTTTTATCTTTTTTTTTTAAATTTTAATGTTTATTTTATTTTGAGAGAGAGAGAGAGAGAGAGAGAGACGGAGTGAATGTGGGAGGGGCATAGAGAGAGGGAGACACAGAATTTGAAGCAGGCTCCAGGCTCTGAGCTAGCTGTCAGCACAGAGCCTGATGTGGGGCTCGAACTCACGAACCATGAGATCATGACCTGAACTGAAGTTGGATGTTTCACCGAATGAGCCACCCAGGTGGCCCACGGCCACTCCTTTTCTACCTCCTTTGCAAGTTCCTCTGCATCTCCCTGTTCCGTGGATGACAGCTCATCCCAGTGCTCACTGCTTGGATCTGTGTTAAAACAGATCTCCACTGACTCTTAGGTGATCTCATCCACTCTCTCATGACACTCTTCAGGGCTTTTGCACAGACCATTCCCTCTCTCTGGAATTGATCTCCCACATGACCTATTCCCTCTCCTCTTTCCGTTTTCTACTTAAGACTGAGTCATACTCTCAATAAAGTATTCACTGACCAGCCTATTTGTGATGGAAACCTACCCCAATACTCTCACTCTTCTTCCCTGCTTTAAATTTCTTCATAGCATGTCACCTTATTTATTTACTGTGTGTACTCCCTACCATTAGAATATATGTACCACAAGGGCATGGATTTTTGTTTCTTTTGATTATTGCTATATTCCCTTTCCTAAAACAGTACCTAGAACATAGTAGATGCTTAATGACTATGTGCTGGCTGAGTGATAAAAGGGTAAGATAAGGACAGAAAAGTAACTCACTGGGTAATAGTGGGGTGCTGTTTAGATGGGGTAGTCAAGAGTAGACTCATTTGGTCAGATCCCTGAAGGAAGTAAGGTAGTGAGCAAAATGAGTATCTAGGAAAATAGCGCTGCGAGCACAAGGCACAGAGTTGCAAGTGCCCTGAGCTGGGAGGGTGCCTGGTGTGCTCAAAGAACAGCAAGGAAGTCCCGTGCCTCGAATGAACTAAGCAAGGCAAGAGCGCCAGGCCATGAAGACAGAGAGATAGCATGGGGAACCTTGGCTTCTACTCCAAGAGAAATGGCCGGGGGGGGGGGGGGCACTGCACCTGAGTGGCTTGATCTAACTTATTCTGTAAGCCAAGCATTTATGAAGCAAAAGAAAGAGAGGCATCACGGAGGACTCCAAGGTGTTTGGCCTGAGCACCTAGAAAGACAAAGTTGTCATCAGCTGTGATTGGGATGGCTGTGAGTAGAAGAGCTTCGGGGAGATCAGGAGTTCAGTGTCGCACCTGTACAGCCGGAGATGCCGATTACACATCCAGGTGAAGACGTCAATTAGGCAGGTGGATATATACGTTGGTAACAGTGAGGAGCTCTAGACTGGTGACACAAGTGTGGGAATCATCAGTATATAAATGTACGTTTAAAGCCATGATGTAGATGGAATCACCAAGGGAATGAATGTTGACAGAGAAGGTGCTCAGGGATTGATTCTGGAGCACTTCAATATTCAGTGATGGGAAAGATAAACCTGAAAAGGAACAGGTTGAGAGAATGATGTCTTAGAAGTCAAGTGGAAAAAAAAGCAGTTCGAGGAGGGGAGAGTGGTCAGCTGTATCAAATACCACAGTTATGGTAATACTGAGGTCACTCATGACTGAAAGAAGAATGATGGGGGCAGACAGAATCCTTACCGTAATAGGTTCAAGAGAGAATGAGAGGAAAAGAGGTAGTGACATAGCATATAGAGAATTCTTTTGAGAAAAATTTTGGTAATAAGTACAAAAATATACTGATCACAATCAATTTTTAAAAATCATATAAAACAATACTACATATTTTTCCATAGTAAAAGAATGGAAATGTTCTGGAAGGCCATACTTAAAATTGATCACAGTCATGGTCTCTGGAGGGGTGGAGGGTGACTAGCACTGGAAGTGTGCAAAGCGGGGCACCTGGGTGGCTCAGTCGGTTAAACCTCCAACTTCGGCTCAGGTCATAATCTCACGGTTTGTGGGTTTGAGCCCCACATCGGGCTCTGTGCTGACAGCTCAGAGCCTGGGGCCTGCTTCAGATTCTGTATCTCCCTCTCTCTCTGACCCTCCCCTGCTCATGCTGTCTGTCTGTCTGTCTGTCTCTCTCTCTCAGAAATAAAACATTTTTAAAAATTTTAGAAAAATAAAAAAAGGAAGTGTGCAAAGATTACTTTGCTTTTATTTGTAAAGTACCAAAAATGATCTGAAAAATATGACAAAATACTAACATTTAGTAATTCAGGATTTTGGGGTATGGATGGCTATTATCTTCTGTGTTTTACTGTAGTTTCAACATTTTTCCAAATTAACACCATCAAAAACATGAGTTAATCAGTGGTGAAGCTATGTAGCCTGAATGACTTCACCCTTTCCATTAACTGTATCACATCACATGACATTTATGGGATGCACTGAGCTGTCAAAAGGGGAACTGCTGATTGCAAACAACTTTGAACAAAGAAACATTTTAAATCATGAAAACATTGCCAAATAGGCAGAACAGAAATTATGGACTAAAATGAGTGAGAAACAAGTTGGATGAAAAACCTGAAATCAGAAAATTTCCAGACATTCTGCTCGTATTAACAATTTCTCCCACTGCAAGTCTTGAACAACAACAACAAACTCAGCCTTATTAATTTCACTTTTTTTTTTACCTGCTTAATGAAGAGTGGAAATGATCCCACATAGCAAAATGGAAAATAAAATGAAACAAAATGAAATAACAAAATCCCTGCAGTAAAGGAGGAAAACCAGCAGCCAACAGTAGTTCATAACTCGTAAACCAAGAACGTAAAGTAAGTTATACTTGAATCTCCATTATGTGCAAAATATTCCTATTTTGGGTTAACTATGAGTTCTAGAACAGCTTTCTCTAAATTATTGCACTGCCACACATCCCATCTCTTCCCCATTTCTAGGGTTCCTTTCTCTGTCCCTTGACCCATCTCACCAAGCCTTTGTCATATCATATCTCAAAGGGTGGCGATTTCTTTTTCCAGTGCAAGGAAAGGATGTGGATGGATTACCTTCCATTTTAAATTATCTTTATCATGCTTTTTTCCTGTTGGTGCAAGTCATGGGGAATTTTAACTATATCTCCCACTCTTCATATCCTAGAAGGGTTTTTTTCTTACCATTCTATACATGGGCACTTGCTCTGAGGTCCCGGCCCCTGGAGGTGGTACCTTGAAGAAAAGTATCAGTTACTATATAGTACATTTTCTACTACTATTTATTAAGAAATATTATAAGATACAAAAGAAACTCTGCTATATATTTAATATTGAGAACAAATATAGTGAACCATTTATAGCTGGGACAATGATCTTTCCTTGAACATGACAAATTTAGGACTAGACAGGCATATAAACCAATGAAATAGGAGACAGCACAGAAAATAACCCTCACATATCTAGTCTATTGATTTTTGACAAGGGTTCCAAGACCATTCAAAGAAGAAAGGACAGTCTTCAACGGATAATGTGGGGACAATTAGATACTCACATGCAAAGCCAATAAGGTAGGACCTTTACTTCACAGTATATACAAAAATTAACTCCAAATGGATCAAAGATGTAAGCTTAAGAGGTACAACTATAAAAATCTTTGAATAAAACACAGGGAGTAACTTTCATACCATCAGATTTGGCAATGAAATCTTCAATCTGATCCCAAAAACCCAGGTAACAAAAGAGAAAAATAGATAAATTGGATTTCATGAAAACTCTAAACATTTTGTACGTTTTTTTTTTTTAATGTTTTATTTATTTCTAGGAGAGAGAGAGAGAGACAGCATGAGCAGGGGAGGGTCAGAGAGAGAGGGGGAGTCACAGACTCTGAAACAGGCTCCAGGCTCCGGGCTGGCAGTCAGCACAGAGCCCGGCGCGGGGCTCGAACCCACGAACCGCGAGATCATGACCTAAGCGAAAGTCGGACGCTTAACCGACTAAGCCACGCAGGCGCCCCTAAACATTTTGTACGTTTAAGGACACCATCAAGGGAGTGAAAAGATTACCCACAGAATGGAAGACAATATTTGCTATTCACATTTCTCCTATATAGGAACATCTACAGTGTAACGACAACAAAGCAAATAACCAAATTCAAAAATGGCAAAAGGTTGGGGCACCTGTGTGGCTCAGTCCATTAAGTGTATGATTCTTGACTTCAGCCCAGATCATGATCGCACAGTTCGTGGGTTAGGTGCATTTGGGCCTTGCATCAGGCTCTGCACTCACAGTGTGGAGCCTGCTTGGGATTCTCTCTTTCCCTCTCTCCCTGCCCCTCCCTCACTTGCGCTCTCTCAAAATAAATAAATAAACTTTTAAAAAAATGGCAAAAGGTTTTGAATAGACATTTCTCCAAAGAAAATACACAGAAACCAAAAAGGCACATGAAAAGATGCTCAATATCACTGATCATTCGGGAAAAGAAAATCAAAATCACAATGAGATACTAGTTCACGCCCATTAGGGTGGCTATAATATTTTTTTTAAGCCAGAAAACAAGCATTGGTGAGTTTGTTGGGAAGTTGGAACCCTCATGCACTGCTGGTGGGAATATAAAGTGGTTTAGCCACTAGGGTAAATGGTATGACAATTCCTCAAAAAATTAAGCATAGAAGTATCATCTTCTGATCCAGCAATCCTACCTCTGGGTAGGCACCCAAAGGACTGAAAGCAGGAACTCAGATACTTGTACACCAATGTTCACCGCGGTCTTATTCATAATAACCAAAAGATGGAAACAACCAACATGTCCATCAATGGATGAATGAATAAAGAAAACGTGGTAAGTATATACAATGGAAAAGTATTTAGCCTTAAAAGAGAATGAAATTCTGAGACATGCTACTCTATAGATGAATCTTTTTTTTTTTTAAATATGGATGAATCCTGAAGACATTCCACTAGGTGAAATAAGCCACACACAGAAGGACAAATAATGTGTGCCTCCACTTAGAATGTGCTGCCTAGAATAGTCCAACTTGATAGAGAGAGAAGACAGAAAAGTGGTCACCACTTAACATTTTGAATGCATTTAATGCCACTGAATTATACAGTTAAAATGGTTTGGATGGTAAATTTTATGTTATATGTATCTTACCACAATAAAAAAGTTTTAAAAAGTTAATAGTAAAATGCCTTACAAAAATAGCATATTAAGTCAGCAGGGCGTATGATCAAAATTCAGGTTTTCTAAAGTCCTTATGTTGTTTCAGAGGAAATTACTAACTTTAGACTTCCACACTTTAACTATGCATGCTGTAGTCTCTAGGGAAACAGCAAACGGAGAGCAAAAAAGTGTATAACTTCAAAGGTTAACAGGGAAAAAAAATGCAAGGATGAATAAAAGGAAAATAATTATTGCAAAAGAAGGCCAAAACTGAGAGGGAAAAAAACAAAAATAGAGGGGAAGATATCCTATAGTAGGAATACTCAAATATATCCGTAATCACATAAAATATATTTACTAAACTCAAGGTAAAAGCTAAGGATTGGGTTTCAGTTGGGGTTAAAATCTAGTCAGCTCAGACAACCTGCCTTTCCCACTGAGCACCTAACTGGGTCGCACGCCTGGGCAGCTATTAGAACATCAGCAGGTGGATCAGGAAAAACAATCCCGTATCAGAAGTATCACTAAACTGGCCGTGGATTCATCATTTTTCCCTTCCACTATCCCCACACTGGACTCTAAGCAGCCTAAAACTTGGAAGAGATCACTGTTGTACAGATGAGAGAAAACTCCAGAAGTCTAGCTCTGGCCTGGGTGAGAACTTCTAAAGCTTAGGGAAAGTCAGAAAGTCCCAGGAAACTGGAAAATACTGGAGAGAGAGCAGAGATACAAAAGCACAGGGAAGCTGTTTATGAACTACTGGGGTCATGGTCCCCCTCCCCTCCCCTCTACAGGGGTAGATCTGGTCTTTATTAAGGTGTTGTTGTTGTTGTTTTTTTAATCTTAATTCCAGTATACTTCACATGCAGTGTAATATTAGTTTGAGGAGTAGAATTCAGTGATTCATCACTTACATACAACACCCAGTGCTCTTAGACTTAGGAAGGATTCTCTCTCTCTGCCCCTCCCCCCTTGCACGCACATGCATGCACACGCTCTCTAAAAAAATAAAAAATAAATTTAGAAAGCAGAAATCAATACAATTAGAAAGAGAAAACTAGAGAAAATGCAATGAAACTGAAAGTTGGTTGCTTGTTATGACTCCTAACACTGGCAAGTGCAACAAGATTGCCAAAACGGAAGATGCAGCTCACCAATAATCAAGACTGAAAGACGGAAATCACCAGACCTTGTAGCCACTGAAAGGAAAATAAAGGAATACTATTAATAGCTTTATGAACGTAAATTTGACCCAAACTGTTATGTTGTTCCTGCATTTCTTCCTTTTTATTCCAAGCCCAAAACTTCTTTGCTGTAACCCCTCTAGGTTCTTAGTCATCTGTGTCCTCCACGAAGCAGCATAGCCACACCTTTCCTCGGCACGTTTTGAAATTACTTATTCCTGGTTCCCAAATCCTCTCAAAACTCTCACTCCTAGAACACACCTCAGCTGCATATTAGGAAAAGTAAAGTCACTATGTGCTAAAGAGTTAACATGTCATTGGACCAATTAGGTTTTAAAGCAAAATCATATAAGTTTGCACGTATAGGAGGATTAGGAGGAACTTAACGGAGAACTATGGGGGAGAAGAAGGAGAAGAATAGTGGGGGAGAGGGAGGGAGGCAAACCATGAGAGACCCTTGAATGCCGAGAACAAACTGAGGGCTGATGGGGGTGGGAGGGAGGGGAAGGGGGGAGATGGGCACGGAGGAGGGCACTTGTGGGGATGAGCAGTGGGTGTTATATGGCCACCAACTTGACAATAAACTATTTGTAAAAATAAATAATAATAATAAATAAAAAAAGTATAAACACACACACACAAAGCAAAGCAAAATCGTATAAAAAATAGCACAGGTCAACATCCTTAAGCCCTTGGGGCCAGATGTTTTTTGGAATTCAAAATGTTTTCTATTTTGGAAAAAATAATTTAGAAATTACACAAAGACCATACTAGTAACACCCTGGGGGTTGTGGGGGCACTGAAATAGCACCCTGTAAACAAACATGTTAATATCTCTGCAGCAAAATCCAAATGCAAAATGTAGGTGTGAATATCTACACTTCCATAAATAAGGGCAACAGCCTCGTTGTAGTTCAGGTAAAGTTTTGCAGCCAAAAGAGTTTCTTGCAAACTTAACAACAACAACAAAACTCGTTTTCTGGAGCTTTTTGAACCTGAGAATTGCAAATAATTTATCGGGGACCCATATTTCAACTTTCAATCTATTAGCAACCCTCTCTCAAATTCTTGATCTCTTGCCACCATTCTAGCATTCTGGGTAATCATCCGTGAGAAACGTTACCATGCGATGAACAGGAGGAATGGAAACACACTTCCAGATGGTTGATGTGCACGTGTGCGTATTCAGCTGCCACTGCAGTCCACCGGGAGTGCCCATATCTGAAGGCTGAGGCCTCTTCGTGTCAGATCTAAGATGGGATTTATAAATCAGCCCATTCGGGAGAATGACAAATCTACCATTTAAGCATGAAGGCACAAAACAAAGCCCCAAAAAACCTCAGTGGCTTTTTTGTAGATGAAACTAAGTTATCATTATAAAACTAAATGTTTCTGCTGGGTTTTGAGTTCATAGAAAGAGTTCAATGGTAGCAGTTTCACATAAAAAAAAGGTGACATGAGGGGCGCCTGGGTGGTTTAGTCAGTTAAGCCTCCGACTTCAACTCAGGTCATGATCTTGCAGTTCGGGGGTTCGAGCCCGCGTCAGGCTCTGTGCTGACAGCTTAGAGCCTGGAGCCTGCTTTCAGTTGTGACTCCCTCTCTGTCCCTCCCCCATTCATGCTGTCTCTCTCTGTCTCCCAAAAAATAAATAAACGTTAAAAAAATTTTTTTTGAAGTGACTTGAGTGAATACATTTTATTCTAAGCTATTTTAATGGTTTATTTAGAGAAAAAAACTAGTATTCTCCCATGGTGGGAGGCAGAAGGGGCACTAAGGTAAGAGGCAGAAGTACTGAATTCTGAGCCCCACGAAGCTATTCACTAGCTGTGTAACCTTGATTAAGGAACTTCTTTTCTTATTTGTAATATGGGATTTACCTATCTGCTTTAGGAGAACAAATAATACTAGATAGAAGATATTTTATATAGGGGCGCCTGGGTGGCTTAGTCGGTTAAGCGTCCGACTTTCGCTCAGGTCATGATCTCGCGGTTCGTGGGTTCGAGCCCCGCGTCGGGCTCTGTGCTGACTGCCAGCTCGGAGCCTGGAGCCTGTTTCGGTCTGTGACTCCCTCTCTCTCTGACCCTCCCCTGCTCACGCTGTCTCTCCTCTCTCTCTCTCCTAGAAATAAATAAAACATTAAAAAAAAGATATTTTATATAAATATGACAATAAACAGAAAGAAGAGGAAACAAACTCTTATGTTCTTGTCCTAAAAACTCCTATTTATTCCATATTTGTCATATGACTAATATAAGTTTAATTTTTATCTAAGTAATTCAGAGTTTAAAAAGTCAAATAATGCCAAAAGATCTAAAACCAAAAACATCAGTCACCACTTCTCCTTCCCAAAGGTAGCCACTCTTTTCTTCATGATATTTAAATACATAATTCTAAAAAAAAGTCTATACTACTATATCTTAATGTATAAGTTCAATTAATAAGTTAGACAGTATTGATTTCCTCTGCAAGATTTGTCATTCACACCATACCCTACTTCCCCTCCCCCCTTTCCACATCTCCATCTTTGAAACCTAGAGACAGAGAGAGAGAGAGAGAGAGAGAGATGTGTGTATGTGTGTGTGTATACACCTTATATATGTAAATATAAAAGCACTACAGAGGTTAATAGCCCTGACTCTAGAACAAGACTCTCTGGGTTCAAATCCCCTTCAGCCACTTCCTAACTGTATAAGGTTGGGCAGGTTACAGAATTTCTGCATCTCAATTTGCTCATATGTGAAAGGTGGATTCATTGCATTCGTTCAGCAAATATCCATTAAATATCTACTAGGTGCCAGACACTATTCTCGGTGCTTAAAATACATAAAACACATGAACACATCTGCCTTCATAGAGCTTATGATCTAGTGGAATAAATAACTATCTCAGGTTGAAAGTTTTTTTTTTTCCTGGCGACATCTCTCTTGGGGCTCCGTATCCGTCCGTTCCAATCCAGCAGTGCTCCCCAGGCCGGTTGTACAGATGTCACCTGGGATTTCCATTGTTGCCGTATGAGGAATTCCTTCTACCTCTCACTTCAGTAGGGCTTGCTGTTTCCCCGAAGCCCACGTGTTTCTCTTTCTTAGTTCCCTGTTTCCTTGGAGCACACCCTGTAGGAGTTTCCCGAGCAAAGGTGCCGTAAGTAAGGGTTCTTTTTGCATTTTTGGATTTTGAAAATGTCTATTTAACTGTTGCATTTGGTTGGGAGCTTGTCTGAATCCAAACCTGTAGACTAGAAATAAATTTTACTAAAAGTTTTTAACAGGTTGAAGTATTATCTTCTAGCTTCCAGTGTTCTTATTTTAAGGACCAATGTTACACTTATTTCTCATCCACTGTTTGTGCTTCATTTTCCTCAGTTCTTGACACTTTAACCTTTCTGTTAAATCCCTGTAATATTATGATGTTTAAAGTTCAACACTGGACCTACCATTATCCTCTTTATTCTCTACCAAGATGAAGGAATCAAGCCTTACAACTTTAACTACCACAGTGTTCAGGGGCGCCTGGCTGGCTCATTCAGAAGAGCATCTGCCTCTTGATCTCGGAGCTATGAGTTCGAGCCTCACACTGAGTGTGGAGAATACTTAAATTTTTTTTTAAATCTTAAAAAAACTAGGGGCACTTGGGTGGCTCAGTCGGTTAAGCATCCGACTTTGGCTCAGGTCAGGATCTCACGGTTCGTGGGTTCAATTCCCGCATCGGGCTCTGTGCTGACAGCTCAGAGCCTGGCACCTGCTTCAGATTCTGTGTCTCCTTCTCTCTCTCTGACCCTCCCCTGTTCACGCTGTCTCTACCTCTGTCTCAAGATAAATAAAACATTTTAAAAAATAAATCTTAAAAAAATAGCTACCACAGTTTTTAGCTCTAGCTCTAATATCCAGACTCCTATGTCTACCTCTTAGATATCTCATACATATCTGAGACATAACATGTCAAAAGAGAACGCTTGATTCAACATGCTGATTCCAACTATTTCTCCTTCAATCCTTCTCATCACAATATGTGACACTACTATCCATGCAGCAGCTCACACCAAAACCGTAAGCAGCATCCCTAATCCTTCTTATTTCCTCATCTCTAATAGCTATCAACTCTACCTTCAAAACATGTCTCAGACGCATCCACTTTACATTACATCGCCTCTGCCACCACCACCCCGGACTAGGTGTTTCGGACAGCACACCAAGAAAAAAAGCAGCAGTCTATATAGGTAGCGTAATTTTAAAATATATTCCTGGATTTTATTTGGGAGCTCGACCAGGAACCCATGATACACTGGCCTATCTGTAATTCCTTGTTAAAAATTTATGAGCACTGGGTGTTATATGGAAACCAACTTGACAATAAACTATTAAAAATACTATTTATTCATTCAATATCTATTTAAAATGTGACTTCTCAAAATACATTTTAAAGTATTGTTATTTTCTTAAAATCTTTAGGGGGACTCACTTTTCAAATTTAAATGTCTACTTTAGCATCATTGTAAGTAAGCAATAAAAATTGGCAAAAGATACAAAAAAAAAAAAGTTATCTGGCATTTGCTCCATGCATGTTTCTGCTTCTTGGATGAATTCTGTTGTTTATGTTTTGCTTGGAAGTCATCACTTTATTCCAAATTTCAAATATGCTGTTACCGCAGCACTGCATAAAATATTTGCTTTTACTTATTGTAATCTTGCCTACATCTGTGGCCACATAGGTCCTCTCGATTTCATGTTGTTACACTTTTACATTCTTTTTCCTTTTAGTCAGGGGAGTATTTTTATTAGACTTTACAAAGAAGTAAGTTTTGCATTTATTTTTGTTTGCAATTTTATTAATTTGAGATTTTATCTTCATAAATTTTATCTAATATATTTTTATAATTTTATATAGATTTTCTTAAGACAAAAACTAAATGCTTATTAATGTCTCTTTTTCAAGAATGATGACATTTTCCTCTGAGTTTAGCTTTCGATAGTTTGATAACGTTCCTTTGGATTTCCTCTTTGGCAAAGTTATGGGTTACTTATTTATTTATTTAAATTAAAGTTAGTTAACACACAGCATAGTCTTGGTTTCAGGAGTAGGGCCCAGAGATTCATCTCTTACCTATGACACCCACTGCTTATTCCAACAAGTGCCCTCCTTAATGCCCATCACCCCTTTATTTTTTTATTTTTTTTTAAAATATTTTTCTTTATTTCTAGGAGAGAGAGAGACAGCGTGAGCAGGGGAGGGTCAGAGAGAGAGGGAGTCACAGACTGAAACAGGCTCCAGGCCCTGAGCTGGCAGTCAGCACAGAGCCCGACGCGGGGCTTGAACCCACGAACCGCGAGATCATGACCTAAATGAAAGTCGGACGCTTAGCCAACTAAGCCACCCAGGCGCCCCAGCCCATCACCCCTTTAGCCCCATCGCCGCACCCACTTCCCCTTCAGCAACCCTCAGCTTGTTTTCTGTATTTCAGAGTATCTTATGGTTTGCCTCCCTCCCTGTTTTTATCTTCTTTTTCCTTCCCTTCCCCTATGTTCATCTGTTGTGTTTCTTAAATTCCAATTATGAGTGAAATCATATGATACTTGTCTTTCTCTGACTGACTTATTTTGCTTAGCACAATACACTCTAGTACCATCCATGTTGTTGCAAATGGCAAGATTTCATTCTTTTTGATTGCCAAGTAGTATTCCATTGAATATATCTACCACATCTTCTTTATCCATTTGTCAGTCAATGGACATTTGGATTATGTTTTTAAACTTATAGTTAAGATTCATGGTCAAATTTTATTAATGAGTTCTAATTTCATTAGATTATGACAGACTGTAGCCTGTAAAATTCTGTAGTTTTTTTTTGCCAAGGTGTGATTGCTTTGAAGAAAATGAACATTCCGTGTGTGTATGTGTGTGCGCGTGCGCACTCAGGTTTATTATTTATTATGCATTATTCACATTCCTCTATGTCTTTACTCATGGTTTGCTTATTAGATCTGTCCAAAAATGAAAGAGATGGTTTGAAATCGCCCCTTATAACTGTATTTTTCTTAAGTTCTCCATGTATTTCTAATAATTTTTGCTTCATGTATTTAACTTTGTGTATACACAAAATAGTGCCTCTATAGTGTCTTTGATCATTGTATGGTATCACTCCTAATTCTGTGTAGTGACTTTAAGCTTACATCCCACAGTATTTGTTGTTAATATTATCACTTCTGCCTCCCTTTGGTTTCCATTCGCCTGCTTTGTGGAGGGTTTTTTTGGCTGAAAATATAGGGATTCACTCACTGAAGTAACACTGATTATATTAAGATGCTGAGCAGCTCCAACGAGTGGTTTTATAGTCTGATTATATTAAGATGCTGAGGAGCTCCAACGAGTGGTTTTATAGTCTTTGTTTAATAAAATAAAAAATAAGTATTATTCACTTAATTGAGTCTATATAATAAAGAAAAGAACCAAGAGTACAAAACCACGAGGAATACCAATATTTAAGACATGTTTAGAAAAAACAGATCCTCCAGATGAACCATGAAGGGATTGTCAGAGGGGTAGGAAGAGAACCATGCAATATGTAATATAATAACTTTAATCAAGACCTTTGCCTACGAAAACTGGGATAGTATGTAACAAATTCTCTATATAAAGTATTGAAGGAAACAATTCTCATATTACAGAGTTTTTTAACAAATGGTTCCTATATCGAATGTAAAATAATTATTTTCTAGTTGATATTCTCATGAGTCCCTTCCTCTAACATGTATGTATTATCAGCTGTCCTTTTTAAGTAATAAAAACTTACTTGTTGACTGGGTTTTCTCCGATGTTAAGCTCTGTTTCATAAAACAAACAAATTTCACATTATTTTTGTATACTTTTTCTTAGAATGTATTTAACTATAAATATATAATATAAATCCAAAATATTAACTTGAAAATAGATGCTTACTTCCTGCAAGGGTAGCAGGCAAGCCGTCCAGACTGTTTGCAACGATGTTTCTACCTTGCTGTCTGACTCCAGTACATTTGCGGACTTGTGAATGTAATGCTGGTTATAATATACCATATAGGGAAAATAATCTGAAAATAAGAGACAGAATTAGATGAAGCCTAAAGCAAACTTATATCAATACAGTAATGATATATATGTACCTCCCATTACAAACTGATAGCACATAAAATTATGAGGTTAATAAGTATAAAGAAAGTTATGTTAAATTATTCATTAAATATATTTTAATTGAGCACTTGTTAGACACCATACTTGGTGTTGAAGATAAAATGAAGAAATAAGAGAAAACTCCCTGCCTTCATGCAGCCTACGTTCCTTTGGAGACATAAAATAACCACGATAAATGAAGTACATGTTAGTTTGTGATAAGTGCTAAGGGAAAAATACCAGAGAAAGAGGTATGATGTGTTGGTGGGGGAGGGGTGTTTAAATTTTAGATAGGAAACGTTCACTGAGAAGGGGACTTTTAAGTAAAGTATGTAAAAGTGAACCATGTGCATCCAGCAGAAAGAACAGCATGAACAAAGGCCCTCAAGAAGGAGTATATTTGAAGACTAATAAGGAGGCAAATGTGTCTGAAGTTAGAGTAATCAAAGGGGTCAGAAAGGCAATTGAGGGCGTTGTAAAGAATTGTAAGGACTTTGTATTTTACTCTGAGGCCACCATCTTTGAGATGGAGAAGCCACTGGATAGATTTGAACAGAGGAGAGACATGACCTGATTTGGGTTTTTTTTTTTTAATGTTTATTTATTTATTTAGAGAGAGGGTGAGTAGGGAAGGGGCAGAGAGAGAGGGAGCGAGAGAGAATCTGAAGCGGGTTCTGCACTGTCAGTGCAGAGCCCAACAACGGGCTCAATCCCATGAACCATGAGATCATGACCTGAGCGAAAATCAAAAGTCGGACGCCTAACCAACTGAGCCACCCAGGCGCCCCTATCTGACAGGCATTTTAATGGAATCACCCTGTCATGTAAAGAAGGGGGGACTGTAGAGGGCAAGGGAAGAAGCCGGGAGGCGGTCTGAAAGCCCATGCGGCATCCAGGTCAGAGGTGACGGTAGCTTGAACTAGGGTGGTAGCACTGGAAATAGTGAGAAGTGGTCAACATTTAGATATGTTTTGAAGGTTTGGGGTAGAGTATCAGAAGCTAAGTTTTAGACATATTAAGTTTTAGAACCCTACTAGATAATTCAAGTGAAATCACTAAACAGACACTTGGATATCAGTTCTGGAGTCCAAGAGAAATGGCTGCAGCTAGAGATACGAATTTGGGGGTCCTTATCATGTAAACAGTGTTTAAGGCCTTGAGCCTGGATAAGGTCATCTAGGAATGAGTAAGTATATGTAAAGAAGAGAAATGAAGAGAAATGAGTAAAAATAAAAGTCTAAATAGGAACCAAGAGTTGCAGAAGAAGAAAACCAATAGGCAAGCTTAAGAATGTATATCAAAGAAGTGGGAGTGATGAACTGAGGGGACCCAATAAGATGAAGACTGAGTAGTCGCCATCAGGTCCTGCAATGTGGAGGTGACTGGTGACTTTTAATAAGACTCATTTAGCGGTGTAGGAGCTAAAGGTAGTGCTTAATGTGGTTTATGAGGAAATAAGGGAAATGTTCACACACTTTCCTTAGGAACTCTATGAACAGGTGGACAAAATAATCAATGAAGATACAGAGGATCTGAAAAAACACAATTCCCAACCTTGGCCAAACTGACATAAACAGAATACAGCATCTAACACCAAGAGGATGCCATTCTCTAGTGCTCATAAAACTTCTACCGAAAAATATGACTATATGCTGGGCCATGAAGGAAGTATCAACAAATTCCAAAGGACTGAAATTATAGCAAAGGTTTTCTGACATAACGCAACCAAGCTACAATTCAGTATCAAGAAAGATCATTAGAAGGTCCCCAGATGTCCAACAGACATATGGAAACATGCTCAATGTCACTCATCCTCAGGGAAATACAAATCAAAGCCACTATGAGATACCACCTCACACCGGTCAGAATGGCTACAATTAACAACTCGGGAAACAACGGGTGTTGGGAGGGAGGGGCAAGATGGCGGAGAAGTAGGGAGCTCCGTGCATTGCACTCGCCTCATACCTCACACGGAAAAGATCTGAAGCCATAGGGAACCTTACAGAACCCAAGAGATTGGGAGAGAAAGGACGCAGAATCCACTGAGAGAGCCTTCTAACGTGAGTGCGAACTGGGGAAGATAAAATCGGGCGGGGATCGGAGACTCAAGGGACGGGGGCGATCCCCCTCTGCAGGGAGTGAGAGGGGAAAAAGAGAGAGTCCGAAACTACTCAAGATACGGCCCCTGCCGCTGGGAAACAGAAAAACCTCCGCTCGGGGCACAGAAGGACAGCGCGCGCCAGGTCCCCGCGCGCCATCTCATCCCGGAGCGGCTGCGCGCGAGGGCACCGCTCCCTTGTTGCTTTGTGCTCCCGGCGCGGCGGGATCCCTGGAGGGGCGTGCGCGGACCCCCGCTGCGAGCTGGCTGGAACTCTAGAGGGAAGGCGAAGGGCTTAAAACTGGGAGATTTGCCTGCGAGTTCGTGTTTCAGGTGACAATCCACAGAGGGACCTGGTTTCCCGCTCTCCAGCGGGCCCGGCACGCCCCCCAGGCAAACCCCCCCCATGCTCGCCAGCCCGACCTGGAGGAGAAGGGAGCGGCGATTCTGGCTGCACCCCCAGGGCTGGGCAAGAGGCTTGGAATCGCCCCGAGGGGATCGCCGGCGAGGTGGTGTCTACGGCAATTGCAGCGGGGCGCGCGGGCTGGGACTTGGAATCTAGGCCCGGCCTGGGCTAAAGAGTGCGACCCACGTTGGCTGCGCCCCCGGCACGGGGAGTTGACACGCCCAAAAAAGCGAGGTGCAGCGCTTGGTTCAAGAAGGGACTGGAGCACGTCACTCTCCTCCCCACACCCGCCGAGGCAGAGCTCCCGCCTGAGGCATTGGATCCCGCCGCGCCCATCCCTGCCTGAGAGCCGCCCTCCTCCTTTTTTTTTTCTTTTTTCTTTTTCTTTTTCTTTTTCTCTTTTTCCCGGAACACTGACCTGATTAACTCCCATCACCGGCTTGCTTAAACAGTCACATCTAGTCCATTCTGTAGATGTACATTCTACACCTACCGACCTTATCATCTCCTTCTCTCAGGAGTAATTAGACTATATAGTCTCTCTGGATAACACCGGCGTCCTTCTCTCACCTCTCCAACCATATTCCCCCCCTTAGCTCTTTGAAAAGAGCTTCTAATCCCTTCTGCCTGTTCATTCTATTTCCAATTGTGCCTCATCCCCGCCCTGTCTTCTCTCTCTTTCTCTATGCTCTTCAAGCAGCACTGCATACACACGGCTATTTAACTGTAGCTGGGAAATCCGGTTATATGCTTTAAACGGTTCTTTGTCCATTGGTTTTCTTCTTTTTTCCTTTTCTTTTCTTCTTATTGACTCTTTAGTGTATTTTTTACTCTCTATTATTCACTCTCCTTCCTCCGTCTTTTCTCTTAACTTTTTCGTTTTCCCTCTCGGTTTGCATGTTAGTTGAATTTGTCTGTGCGTTTGTGGGCTCCTGCTCCCTGTGTGTTTGTCTGTCTGTTTTCTTCTCCAGGGCTCCCTGAAGAAACAAGCCAGAGTACACAAGGTGGAGAGTCCCATTTATCACTACGAGTAGGAAAATAAAATAACCAAGGTCCCAACAAGACAGACCAAGAGATACCATTTAAAAAACACTCTCTGAAACGATAGGCCCTGGACAGTCAAAGAGTCTTCTTGGATACAGCAGTGCTCATAGGTGCAGAGAACATAACAGGTCTTTAAAACTAACAAGAGCCGGAAAGCTAACTAAAATGACAAAACAAAAGAGCTCTCCTTCAAAGAAACTCCAAGAAGAAATGACAGCTAATGAACTGCTCAAAACAGATATCAGCAGCATAACGGAACAAGATTTTAGAATAATAATAGTAAAATTAATAGCTAGAATTGAAAAAAACATAGGGGAAATCAAAGAAACTATGGCTACAGACAAAATGGAAAATAAAAATAGGCATGAAGAATTAAAAAATGCGATAAAAGAGATACAAAATAAATTAGAGGCCTCCAATGCACGGAATGAAGAGGCAGAAAGGAGAATAAGTGATTTAGAAGACACCATTATAGAAAAACAAGAAGCTGACCAAAAAAGAGACAAACTGATCCAGGAACAGGAAAGAAGAGTTCGAGAGCTCAGCGATACGGTCAAACGCAACAATATCCGTATCATAGGAATCCCAGAAGAGGAAGAGAGAGGGAAAGGTGCTGAAGGAGTCCTGGAACAAATTATAGCAGAGAACTTCCCCGACCTGGGGAAGGAAGTAAATGTGGAAGTACAAGAGGCTCAGAGGACTCCCCTCAGACGTAACCTGAATCGATCTTCTGCACGACATATCATAGTGAAAATGGCCAAATACAAGGACAAAGAGAGAATTTTGAAAGCAGCTAGGGAGAAAAGGGCCCTAACATACAAAGGGAAACCTATCAGAGTGGTGACAGACCTATCTACTGAAACTTGGCAGGCTAGAAAGGAATGGCAGGAAATCTTCAATGTGATGAACAGTAAAAATATGCAGCCAAGAATCCTCTATCCAGCAAGCCTGTCATTCAAAATAGAAGGAGAGATAAAAACCTTTCCAAATAAACAGAAATTGAAAGAATTTGTCACCACGAAGCCAGCCCTACAAGAAATCCTGAGGGGGATGCTCTGAAGGAAAGGTTGCAAGGAACAAAGATACCAGAGACACCACCACAAACATGAACCCTACAAAAGATACAAAGACTCTAAACCCACATATTTCAATAATAACACTGAATGTAAATGGGCTGAATGCTCCAATCAAAAGACATAGGGTAGCAGAATGGATTAAAAAACAAAATCCATCAATATGCTGTCTACAAGAAACTCATTTTAGACGGGAAGATACCTTCAGATTAAAAGTAAGGGGATGGAGAAATATATATCATGCTACAGGAAATCAAAAGAAAGCCGG